GCTGGGGAGCTGGTGGGACTGCTGCGGGGGTAAGAGGTCGGTGTTGGCGAGATAACATGTGCATATGGCCCACTGAAGGCAGAGATGTACGTGGATGTGCTCTGCTGCAGGTGGTCCTTTCTGCGTACACAGGATCACACGCTCAGCTCTTCCAAATGCCTTCGGTTAGGTCTGGGTGCCTGTGTCTTTGGGATGCTGAATTATAAGCTCTCTTTTAACGTGATATAAAAAACTACAAACTGCATTTAGGTCTCATTGTGTTTCAAGCATTAGCGTCCAAAAGGGCAGGTGTTTGTCTGTTGCTAGGAGTTCCTTCTCTCTTTTTCCATCTGTGCAGTGAGTTTCAGTCAGGTCCTCCCTGGGGTCCCCTAGGTGTGGAATGCATTGAATACACACAAAGTGTTCTGAAAGAACCTTCCCCCCAAAGCAATAGATTTTGCATTAATGTTGGAGGGTGAGAATTGACGTGACATGAATATTGAAAATTATTTTCAAATGCAAATATTTTCCCTCACACACCGGGTGCCGATATGTTGCGTCTCCCTCCCCTGGTGCTCCCTGCAGCAGCTCCTGGCCGGCAGTGTGTGCAGAGCTTTCCCCTCCTGCCCCACCTTCCCGAAGCACAGCTTTCGCCAGCTCCCCCAAACCCTCCAGCTCTCTTCAGTCGGTGCTGCACGCTGAAGGGATGCAGAACGGACAGAATCCAGAAGAACCGTGGGTGGATAATGGGGTGTGAGCCCCACTCGCAAAGCTGGACAGAGGCGAGGGCTGCTGGTGGAGCCGATGCTCGCGGCAGCTGTGCTTCGAGCTGGTGCTGTTGTGTTTGAGAATGTCTCGGAACTGAGGGCTGGGTTGGGCTGTGCACCCTGACAGAGCCACGGTTTTGTAAATTAGCAAGGGATCCAGCCCATCAGCCTTGCCGTGAGAACTGGTGGCTGCTGCTGAGATGTTCAGATCAGTGTGTAAAGCACCTCCTGTCCAAGCTTCCTCCTGCCCTGGTGCCACTGGGCATCGGTCCAGCCTGTCGCAGCTGGAAACACCAGCAGACCTTCTTGGCCACTAATATAAACAGTCAAAAGCGTTATCTGAGATTTATTCAACCAACAACAGCGAACGGGATAAGTTGTGATATAGGGCTAACAACCGATCTACATTATGACCCATTTTTTTAAGCTTTTGCTAAAGCTTTTGTAATAAACATAGTAGTTCTTTATTTCCTATTGAATATTTATGAGACAGTGTCTGAAAGCAGAGTTTTAATGAAATTATGCTTATCAAAAATTACATAAGTGTGTACCCACAATACTTCAGAAAGGTGGCTTTACTGAAACTAATCAGCTAAACTTGTTCTTCAGATTATGATTTGTTAAAATTGTTACTTACTGTGATACTTTAAGTCAAAATTGAGTATTAAGACATTTTAATTTTAAGCTTTTCTATAAAATTAAGTTTACTTTGAAGAAATAGTGCTAAAATATTACTAGGTATAATAGAGTGAAAGAGAGTTTATTTGGATGTGGACACTGTGAAATCAAAGCCAACTATAAAAGCACTGGAAGAATGTTCCAAATCAGGAACACAGCGTACGGATGAACATGATTTTACAGGTTTCTCTGCCTTCCCTGGGTGTAGATTTCGTAGCTCTGCCTTGTCCTCTGACAAGGAAACTTAATCTTTGTTCATACTGGCCGTGGTCTCTCCGCACGAGCGCGGTGCTGATCTCCTTAGGACACCACCGCCGTGAAAACACGAACCTCCCTCTCGGGAGCAGCAAGCGCTGCGCCCTTGCTCTGCCCTGCTCTGCCTGTCCGTTCCTTTGACCATCGATTGCCATCGCTTAAACTGGGCATGGACATGCCACCAGATGTTTCCGTTTAGCAATGCTTCACATTCCTATGTACGTGAAATCTTCAGCAGCAAAGTAGGTGAAAGTAGAGCTGGATGAGTGCTCGTCACTTCCCATTCTTGGTGATTTACAGGCGTTTCCAGGGTAGGGAGTTTCATATTTGATAACACTGGAGTATTTTAGAACATGTATCAGAGCAGTCAGCTCAAGCAGATTGAAAGGTTTTCAATATAATATAATTTTTGTCAGTTTTCAGAAAAATACGAATATCTGCTTTTTATTAAATTTTCTTCATATAAGAGAAGACTAGGCTTTCTCCCTGGAACAGAACTGCCTCTGCAGGTTACTGTTGTAAGCATTTATCTGCCTAACTACAACGGCTACGGGAGGAAACGGGAATCCTCTCTGGGGCATCCTCAGGCAGCTTTGTACCACTCTCTTTGGACAAATTTGTTTGTCCTGGTAATTGTTATTGGGTTATTGATGCAGTGGTCTTTCCTAGCTGCCAGCATAACTGTGCCTTTAGTTCTGTTTTTTGCAGTTTATAGCACAAATTATACACTCCTTTGAGCTTACTAGAATTTTGAGAGGAAGAAAATAACAATACCTGGTTTATTGTAGTTGAAGCAGGTTTGTCTTCTCTGTTTCTCTGAAGACAAGATAAATCTTGAAGGGCAAAAGAAGCATAACTGTCTGAACAGAAAGCACGGCAATGGCAACTCCTCTATAGGGACTAAAAGGGACACACCAAAGAATTCCCTACAGCTTCATAAGACACAGAGCTTGGCAGCGGACTGGGGGTTATTAGGAAAAATATGGTCATGGTTGTACTATCAGGGCTATAAAAACCTGTTGTGAAATGTTGAGCAGCAGATATAATGCTGAAGGTGAAGTTTCAGGATTATTTGTGCTAGCCTCCAGTATTTTCCTTTTGAAAAAGGATGGAATTCTCAAGTTTTCTGGCTTCTTCCAGTAACAAGATGGGCATGATGTGTTTCTTTTAATGGAAAGGGTTATAGGAAAGAGTTCTGCCATACACAGATGTCGGAGAACATTTCTTCTTGGCAAGGACAACTGGGAAAAGAAAAGAGTACCAGGGCTATATAAAGCATGCTAGAGAAAATCTGTGCTCCAGAAATGAGATCTGCAAGGTTAGCCAAGTTGTTTAAAGCAATAACACAAATAAAACATAAATAAAAAGCACAACTCCCCAAACCAAAAAACTCCAACAAAAACATCACATCCAAATGAAAAAAACATTTTTTGCATTTTTCAGGTGTTTTGATGAACGACACTGTTATTATTAGGTGGATATAGAAAACATCTGACTGGCTTTCAAACTGCAACACCACAGCAGAAAGGTAACCTTACGCTTGTCCCATGTTTTTTCTGTTTGTGTATCTGCTGTTTGTCAGGGTGAAGTTTAGACAAGCGTTGCTAGAAAAACGGTTGCTGGAGAAAAAGGAACTGGCCCTTCAAGAAGCACGTGAAGAAGAGGAAAAAGAGAAATGCCTGGAAGCACTTCGACAACAGGTGGTTTTATTTTCTGTCGAAAGTATTTTTATATACAGCAGTGTTAGACATACCGCCATATTCTGTGAAAGATAAAAAGAACAATCTGTCAAAAGCAAACCAATGAAGAAGTTAAAATGCCCGTTTGGTCTGACTTTACCGGTAATTCTGTCATGTTATAAATCCTGTGTGCTTTGTAAGCGACAACAGGAACATGGTGATGTTAAATTGCACCGTAGAAGCTGGCGATGTCCGACAACAGACAGATACCGTTTGTTCTGAGTTGGATGTGATTTCTCTTCTTCTTTGATTTTTTTGTTGGTTTGTTTTGGTTTTTAATGATCTTAACTCTTTCTTGAGTCTTAGGCAAGATTTATGAGTAATTTAAATTCTTTTTAAATTCTGAAAGCTTAGATCTTGGAGACTTTTCTTCAGAGAGAGATTTAACTCTGTGAAACTTTTGCACATTATTTTGAAAAAAGACATCACAGAAAATGCTTGCTAATGTTTATCTTGATAAATGTAATGATTTGTTTTTACTGCTGACTGTTGAAGGAGTAATTTTACCTTCATTTATATTTTTGTATCTAATCTCCTTGTTTTTTTAAAAGGAAAAAGATGGAGTTAACATTCTTTACTCTCTACACTTTTGCATATGCATCCTTCTGTATTTTCCAAAGTAGTATTAGCCTATATCTGAATGTTTTAACACAAAGAAAATAAGCCATGAAAAAAGGTTGACTCTGGCACAATCCAGAGTGGGAGAGAATTTTTGATACTGATCTAGCCACAGGAAATTAAATAGTTAAAACAGACACACTTAAGAAAAAGCCAAAGAGTTGTGTTATTGCTGGCGTATCACTCAGTGTTGCTGCCCTTGGCTCTCTAAGAATTGTGAACTACTGGTCTGAACACCTTTGTTTCCATCAGCAGAAAAAGAAGAAAGTTTGGGCTTCCAGGAACTGTGGGTATCACTAAATTAAGAGCCTGCTGGTTTTGAGAGTCAGAGCCCGTGTCGGTCTCTGCTGGAGAGCCGAGGATGCTGTTGACTCTCTCTTGTGGCATCCTTGGTGAGCCGCGGGCTCCACCGCAGCCGGGACCACACGCTGCTGCTGCTGCGGTGCAAAGATCAGCCTTTGGGAAGTGCTGCTTTCCGGTAGCCTAAAGCTCGGCGTGTTCCCTACCAGGGGTATGATGAGGCAGCAGCCTCCGCTCTCCGTGGAAATGCCGTCCAGCTTTCCAGTTGATGTTTTCAAGGACTGGCAAGTGGCATCACAGTGTGCAGGTTGTTCTGCGCTAAGCCTGCCCACCTAGAGGCAACTCTGCTCTTGACAGCAGATCTGGGCAGGCACGGCGCTGTATGACATCCAGCCAATTAAGTTGTTTCCATTAGGAAACAGGGGGGAAAAAAAAAAAATCTCCCTGGTTGTTATCCTGTGTCAAGGTGGTTTTTATATATGGATACAAGGTGGTTTAAGACAACTTTTGAAACTTTTAAACCAGGTAAATGGCCGTATTCTCAAGGGATGTGTTATCAACAATCGCCTTTTCTCACCTTAGGTCTACACAGCTAGAGTAATTGTTGTTTTCATATGGTGTGTTTTAGGTTGCTGTTGTTGCAGAGTCAGACCCAGCTAGGATGGTGGCTGATACGGTGGCATCTAAGGCTCGGATGGGCATTGGAACCATGGAAGAGTTTGATCTTCAGAAGCCACTGTTTAAGTTGCATACGTACAGTGAACAGCAGGTAATTGTCTGTAATCATAGAATCATTAAGGTTGGAACAGGCCTCAAGGATCATTAAGTAATCACACCATATAGCTTATTGTATGTGCGTGTATCTTAATGCTGATATATAATAGTAATATTAATAATCTGCCCTACATAGCGGTATTGACAATGGACTGTAGAATATAATGTTTATAAAAATAAAAAGATTTGGAGAAATAGGTGGTGTAATCTCTCTGACCCGATGCAGATGCTGGAGGAGCACAACCAGAGTGGACCAAGAGGTCCATTGGGGTCCAGCGTGGGACCCCCGGGCTCTCCCCGAGCTTTATCTCCCATTGCCACCCCTGCAGAGAGGACACGGGGCTAAGGGGCCGCTGGGCAGCTCCCGTGGTTGCTAGGCGTTCTGACTGATCTGTTTGCTCTTTTTTTAATTTCAAAACTCGCCCCTTTTACATTTTTGTGCATTTGTTTGAAAGAGTGCCTCCTTTTCACCCGCTCCAGTTGGTGCTGTACTCAGGGTTTGCAGTGAATTGGCGTGGGAGTTCCCCTGACTGTACACAAACGAGCTGTGTCACGGGTAACTTAATTCTGGGGATTTCTTTTTTCCTGGACGACTATGCACAGCACAAATCTCTTCACAAGCTGAAAATGAGCATTTTGACCATCTTGACACTGTTGCTGGATTCAGGATCAGTTGGGATGCGATGTGCAAGGCCTAAGGCAAAGAAACCAGTGAGGTGTAACTGGAGCAGGAAACTGAAACCACTGTCCTCCTGTTTTCAGGTCACTCAGGTTGCTGAGGACAGTGCTAGCTCAATGGCAAATGGAATTAAGCAACATAGGGGAGGATATTTTTAATTCCCTGACTATTCCCCATCTGCTCAGTCTATGCATTTGAAATTATTCCCACTGTGGAATTTGAAAATTTTGTTTACAGAAAGAGAAGAGCTGTGATACAGTTCTATGGCATAAAAGCTTCCTTCTAGCACTGAGGAAGCTGCAGTGTGACGATGTCTATAGCTAAGCTTGTCCAGCACTTCCTGTCTTATGACATTTTAAAGCTTCTCCGTTTGGTAAAAGAGAGATGGGGTACAGGAGATGTAGGTTTTGTTTGGCTGTTACAATGTACCCCAATGTGAACGATGTAGGAGGTTCTGGAAAGCCTTAGCTTAAAAATGCTCTGAACGTGTGTATTTGGGATTGATACCTGAATTCTCTGAGTGTTCTTCCTGTTTCGACTACAGACGGGCTTTGGTAGTGCTCAGGCTGCAGTAGGTGATTCTGGGCAGGCACCTTGGCGTGCTCCGTTCCAGAGCAGCAGCGGTTCTGAATGGTGTTCCCAGGGCTTTGGTAGTGCTCAGGCTGCAGCAGGTAATTCCAGGCAGGCACCTTGGCGTGCTCCATCCCAGAGCAGCAGCGGTTCCGAATGGTGTTCCCAGGGCTTTGGTAGTGCTCAGGCTGCAGCAGGTAATTCCAGGCAGGCACCTTGGCGTGCTCCATCCCAGAGCAGCAGCGGTTCCGAATGGTGTTCCCAGGGCTTTGGTAGTGCTCAGGCTGCAGTAGGTGATTCCAGGCAGGCACCTTGGCGTGCTCCGTCCCAGAGCGGCAGCGGTTCCGAATGGTGTTCCCAGGGCTTTGGTAGTGCTCAGGCTGCAGCAGGTAATTCCAGGCAGGCACCTTGGCGTGCTCCGTCCCAGAGCAGCAGCGGTTCCGGATGGTGTTCTCAGGGCTTTGGTAGTGCTCAGGCTGCAGCAGGTAATTCCAGGCAGGCACCTTGGCGTGCTCCGTCCCAGAGCAGCAGCGGTTCTGAATGGTGTTCCCAGGGCTTTGGTAGTGCTCAGGCTGCAGCAGGTAATTCCAGGCAGGCACCTTGGCGTGCTCCATCCCAGAGCAGCAGCGGTTCCGAATGGTGTTCCCAGGGCTTTGGTAGTGCTCAGGCTGCAGCAGGTAATTCCAGGCAGGCACCTTGGCGTGCTCCGTCCCAGAGCGGCAGCGGTTCCGGATGGTGTTCCCAGGGCTGGTCCTCCCTCAGTTTCTCATCCACCCTTTGAGTTCTCATGAGGAATGACAACCAGGGCTCTTGGTTAAAACAGATTGTGACCATTAATGTTAAAAAGGATAGTGTCAAGATATGCGCAGTGAGATAAGGCTTGTTCACTCCACAGTTTCTCTGCTTTTGAAGGCTTTACTTTATCACCATAATTTTCTTGACTGTCTTTTAAAACTTCTGTTGTATGAGGAAAGTACCGGCTAGTTTCTATTTATCATTGCTGTGGTTTGTTTTAACAGATCATTTCTGACCCTAGGCTCCGTGTTGAGCTAGCTCTTCGAGAAGCTGGACTCCATAAAACGCTTTATGCAAAAGAGATTTTACCAAAAATTCCTCCACAGAAGCTTCCAAGAAGAGACATGGAATCTACAGCTTTTAAGATGTAGAGCACCTCTCCAGTTGGGAGCAGAGCGTTCAGGGGTGTTCTCTGGCCTGTAACGTGAAAACTTTGAATAAATTTCCCTCGGGCTGTGTCATAGAGCCACTTCGTTCTCAGCGTGTGCAGTCATTCCAAAAACCACCGTGCCCTTCTCGTGCAGTGCTGCACCGTTCCATACCTGCCCTGGCAAAGGGTTTGCAGAGGTTGGGTCCCACGTCCCCTTCTGCTGGGAGGCAGGACACCCGCCCAGGAAAGACTCCTATAGACAGGCCAGGCCAGTCTCTGGGTTTTAGCGGGCAGCATGAATCCAAAATAGCACTGCAGAACAGTCCCTTTGGAGTATATGATGATACATGAATACATCCCACAACTTTCATTCCATGTTTCTTGAGAATTTGGTTCTTGTAATTAAAAAATCTTCATTATCATGAATGTTTCTATTATTCCTTGATTATCACAAGAAACTTAACCTTTATCTATATTTAGAAACCAATTTGCTGCATCATATTTACTGCAAACCAATCATGCAACTTCCTATTGCAGATTAGTCTTCCAGTATAAATTATAAATAAGAAATAACATTTCAGATCTGGGATCTTTATTTTGGAGATTAAACTAATAAATATGCTTCTATTAACTGAAGGGGAAATTTATGTCATCTTGTTTCGTAACCGGTTATGTTTTCAAACCTTACAGAAGATGAGTGTAAAATGTGTGTAAACAAGTTACAATTAGCAGTTTAACCAAAATGTTCCGAGGACGATGAACATTAGAAAGATCTGAGCATCCATGGTTGTGCATCTAGATAATTATAGGAACTGCATTAAAGTAATATTGCAGCGCCTCAGGGGTGTGAATGGGTCACATCCCTGAGCCCCTTGCGGAACAGACAGTCGTTCCTCCCTGTTGGGATGGGGAAGGGAGGGGGGGTAGGGGGGAGCCCTGCCTGTTCTGCCAGCAGAGCCTCGGCATGGGGCCAGCAGACACGGGGGAAGCTTGTCCTGGTCCAAGGGTGCAAGGTCAGAAGCAGACAGAGACCCGGCGAAGGGTGTCGGAAAGGCCAGGGAAGCGCTGGTACCACAGGCTTCCGGAGCAAGCAAAGGTTAACACCAGGAGCAACACAACCTGAGCCTTGAAGCCGAGTTATTTAATAGGGGGAGGAACACTGCGGAGACCACCCAAAAGCCGTGGGAGCTGGATGTCCTCTGGATTTGTCTTCTGCGCATTTGTGCTAAAATTACAGTTCTGTGCGTGTTTGTTCATTTTATTTCGGTATCTTGTTTGGGGTAGCTCATTATTTTTAAAGCAGACTTGGCCAGCTTCGCAACCTGTTGGCTGTTCCTGCAGGGGAGGCCAGCCTTGCGTTGCTTCTCTGTCGGAGACCCCATCGCCTGCTGGATTGCTTCCCAGAAACGGAACATCCCAACCTTAGGGCAGATGATTATTTTTTTTCTTGCCTTTAAAAGCAGATCTAGACAATAATTTCAGTGGTGAAAAATCTTTTCAGATTATAGTTGTCATCTCTTATAAACACTAAGACATTTATGAAAAAAGAAAGTTTAAATGGAGCAGATGTTGGAAATAAAGGGCACTGGTTTTTAGGCTGCTCTTGCCAGGAGAGCCCCTGCAGACCACACAGGCTACTGTGCCTTCCCTGGCGAGAACCTCTCCCCTGCTCCCAGGGGAAGGAGGTGATGTTTTCCCTTTGTCATCCTTCCTTAGCATTGTCCGTGAGATCAAAATCCTTTGGGAATGGAGATGCTTATAAGGTCACTTGTTTTCATGATAAATGCTTTCTACTCTTCTTTTAAAAAAAATGAAATTTTGCAAGTTGTTTTTGTACAAAGATGTATGAAATTACTTGCACATAAAAAGAGTAATTTAGAAAACGTTAATGGGTAATAGACTTCTCAACCAGCATCTCTTGCAGCCCTACGTGGTGTTTTTGACCTGGTAAGGGTAACAGTTCAGAATTCAGCTATCCCTGGTGCCAGTGTTTGAAGTGTTTGCAGTTTGACTAATAATCTGATTTTTTTTAAAGCCTGAGAAAAACTTCTTTGTGAAAATTAAGTTATTTGGTTTCTAGATATGCTACTTATCTGTGGATTTGGGTAGCCAGAAAAGTGGCTGAAATGTTAAATAGTGCCTGAGAGTCCAGCACGCAGCCAGCACGAGATGGGCCAGTGCCGTATGCAGCTGCTGCTGAACACTTTAATTTTGTGCCAGCTTACGTGCACGTGAGCTTATGTGCACATTTGTGTGTGTATTTATAGGAAAAGAAAAACCCAGTAATGGCAGTGCCGGTTCTGACCCCTTTGAGAACAGAGGGCTTTCCAGGGGCGGTCAATATTCTGGAAAGGGGCTGAGCAAGGACACAGTTCTGAGCTCTGTAACCGACTCATCTGGAACCCTGAGAGAGTGCCGGGCTTGGAGAGCGCAGCAGGAAAGCCACTGAATGGTGGAATCGTGAAGCTGAAAGCAAAAGGAGAAAAGCAAGAGTCTCCTCACTGGCCAATGTTCTAGAAAATAGAGAGTTCGGGATCTCCTGCAAAGGTCACCAGCAGGGCTGTGTTTCTGTAAGCTGCGGCAGAGCAAGCCTCAGCTGTCAAATCGGGCAAAACATTAAAGTTTTGTGTTTTCCTGGAGTGCTTGTGAATTATTCTCACAGAGCACTTGAGGTGCATTGCTGTTAGCATAGAAGTTTCTTAAGCGGACTCTGGACGTAGCAGAACAGAGTTTGAATGGCAGGTTAGATTGCATGTGAAGGGGTTTTGTTTCATTCTGGGAGGATGCTGGCTCCTGTCCGGGGATCCCTCCCCTGTCAGATTCCTATTTGAGCCCGAAAACTGCATCTCGGCACGGAGACTAGGAACCCATCTCCTTTTCTTGTAAAAAGTGGCTTTTTCATGGCTGCAACTGACTGTATCCCAGATCCAAGTGCTGGTAAGCTGTTGGAGTAGCTCAGGGGGACCATGCGAGTGGGGTCCCCGTCGGGAACACCCTGGATGGCCCCAGGCCACCACCGGCCCCACAGCCCAGGGACGGAGCTCTGTGGGGGGAGAGGCAGCATGACAGCGGGCAGTGGGGCGACTGGAGGGACACCGAGAGAGCCCCGCACATTTGGAAGGCAAACTGAGCTGTACCTGCCTGTGGAAATATTTCTGGGACTGGAGGGGCCCAGAGGCTCGTGATGAAGCCAATTTGAGGATGCTGACCCGAGAACAAGGACCTCGGGGCGTGTGTGAGTGTCCTTAGACTCGCACATCTCACGCTCTTAATACCATTAGTATCTCCAGATCCTCTCCCATGCTTTTGGATACGTTAAAGTTTTGTTTACCAGAGCTCTCAGACCCTGTGAGTTATTGTTCCTGAGGTGTCACCACTCCCTGGGAAGCCAGATCCTTCCTGACCCTGGAGAACTGCAGTGGCTTCAGGGAAGCCAGATCCTTCCTGACCCTGGAGAACTGCAGTGGCTTCAGTGGGAAACCCCACTGCCCCCGCAGCCCTGGGGCATCACCACGGGCAGGACCTGACCCTGTGCTGGTGTCCCCAGGCACGGGCACCCATCCCCACCCTCTGCTCTGACCCTGCTGGTGGCTCGACCCCCCAGCCACACCTGGTCCCGAGCAGACCCTGCCCCGAGCGGCTGCTCCCCTCCCACCCTTTGTGAAGCCCTTTGCACAAGCAAAAGGTGTGGTTGAGGCTGTGCTAACCCGGGCAGAGTGCTTTGCTTTATTGTTCTTCCTACTGTTAATCCTCTTAAACGCCTCTTTGTTAAATAAAACATGGCCTCGGGCAGCACACAGATGGCTGCGTTTGCAAGCAGATCCAAAGGTTTATAAATAGTCCTCAGATTATTAATTCTTCATTTATTACATTTCATCTACTCTGCCATCAGCATTTAATTCTGCAAAGGAAACAATTCCAGAGTAACCAAAGTTTGTTTATGTAAATGTCATGCGCTTCCTGACATTCTCCTAGCATTTGGTGGTTCTGGAGTTCCAGCCTTGTAGGAAACAGCTCAGCAGAAGCCAGCTGCTCGGCTGGCCCCAGGACTGTGTTTTCATTGCTTTTGGGGTGTCCCTGACTGCATGTGGCTCCCGTGTAATGGCTGGGCTGGGGACAGCAGAGGCGCCCCCAGGCATCTGCCTTGTCTGGGGGGGAAGGACAGTCCAAGATCGTTTTACCTTTGCAGAAGTCATAGGTGTGCTTGGTGTGGCCGATGAGCATGGGAAAATCAGGATTTTCCTTACTGCTGAAGAGTAGTTCCTCTGTCAGGTCCTTGTCCGGCTCCATGCTCTGCACCCCCGTGTCACCCAGCACCCCTGTGGCACCCTGCACCCCCCTGGCATCCTGCACCACCCGCTAAACCTCGGGCTTGGAGGAGGAACCCACTGGGGTGTCCATGATCACGACAGACCCGGCCTCGATCCCTGTGAAGACAAGGGCTGAGGCCAAGCCAGAGCTCATAACACTTGTGAGCTGCTGTAGAACTTCAGCACGACAGAAAGGTCTCTGCAGATGCGTGCGTGACGGGAGGCCCCCCTGGCATCCTGCACCACCCGCTAAACCTCGGGCTTGGAGGAGGAACCCACTGGGGTGTCCATGATCACGACAGACCCGGCCTCGATCCCTGTGAAGACAAGGGCTGAGGCCAAGCCAGAGCTCATAACACTTGTGAGCTGCTGTAGAACTTCAGCACGACAGAAAGGTCTCTGCAGATGCGTGCGTGACGGGAGGTTGTTCTTTTTAGTGAGCAAAACAGATGTGAGAGAATAACGGGAATGCATGCAGTAGCACAGATGTACGAATAAAATGTCCAGAATCAGCACTCCATGAGTGATCGTGGGGACGTGCCAAGCGACAGCGGTTCCATTGCGTCTGGCGCAACAGAGATCGTGCCCCCAGCAGCCTGTGCAGGCGCGAGCTGCACAACTGCCCTGGCTGGGGTCCCACAGCGCGGAGGGCTGCAGGCACTGGGACAGCCGGGAGGGTCTCAGAGCATAA